ATCTTGTGGGAGACGTTTAGCAGCGATATTCGCCTCCAATTCCGAACGTTTGTTTTATCGCCCTTTTTGTACAGCATCGTGATGACCCCTCTGCACATCTCCATGAGTGGGTGCCCCTCTAGGACCCTGTTATAGAGTCTTATGAGCAGTGGTCCTGTCTGCTCCCAAGTCGCCTCGTAGAACTCTGCACGAGTCTGCAGGTAGGCCATCGTCTCTCGGGGACTTGCCTTTTGCCATACTCCTAACTGCCTCCCCCAGTTCTTGTAGCGTCAATGGTTGGTCCAGGCTTAGCCTTTGTGACCCCTCCAGCGACTTATCTGCGTGTTGCCACATATCCACCTCCTCTTTCATGGTTTGCAGTGATTCCCCTGGCTGTCGGCGTGATGTCAATATGTCTTGGTAGTACAGCGTGACATACTCCGCCAGGGACACAGTGTCTTCTGCGACATCTGCGCGAGCATTGAAGGGATGTTGCAGAGCTCGAATGGTGTTGTGAGATCTGTACGGGCAGAGTCTGCGGAAGGTCTCTCGTGTCATCCTGTCTAACTGTGACATCCCCCTCTCCTGCGCTCTTCTTGCCTAAACCTCTAGTTGCTTAATCTAGATTGCCTCCCATTTACTCATCCATGTGTCCCTTCTTCGTTCCCAGTAGATGTAAGAGTACGGATCCCTCCCAATTTTCTCTTCCGCTTCCTTCACCATGCGTCGGCAATCCAGTTCCTCGTCTCTGCGGTCTTTGGCCATGATGCGTGAGAAAACGTCCATGGCACTTGTAACAATCCTGAATCCCATCTACAACCACTCTTCTTCCGACTCAAACCAAAACTTGGTTCCCTTCCAGTCTTCCCAATGCTGTTTGCACCACTCCAGTACCTCCTTTTTTTAAGAATTTTCTGTATTTAGTCTGAAAAAGCCTTTTTCTTTTTGGAGGCTAAGACGCAACTTGAAGGAGACCTTCACTAGATAGTGGTCTGACAGAGGCTCCGGATCTACTTCCGTGCTGGTTACTGCTTCAGTGCTTCCCATGCCTCCCCTCTTGTCAACACCAGGTCCAACCATCGTCTTGGCAGTTCTCTGTCCTCGTTTTTTTGTGATGAGATCCATGTGAAACCCGCATCCTTTGGCTTGACTTATCTGAATGTGTCCGTGAGACCCTGCGCCTGTATGAACTGCTCTAGCAGAACGGCTTCTGATCTTCTGGGAGCTTCCAACGGCGAGTCCAGGCCGGGGTGCAACACTGAGTTAAAATCTTCAGCCATCACCAAGTTAGTTACCTCGGGAGTAAAGTTTGGCATATCTCTAAAAAAGAGCATCGCTCGGCTGGCACGAAGGGGGCATACACAGATATCACGGTCCATTTTTGGCCCCCCCAGTCTGATCCTGACCCAAACCCACTGGCCCTTATTGAAGTCACTTTCTAGTACTTCGGCCTCCAACTTATGGTGGAGCAGAATTGTTGTTCCGCCTCGGGTGCCCTCCGCCGAGGCCCACCACTGGGGGTCTTTCCACCATTTTGCAAAGCGTTCAATTTTGAGCTCATCCATCTTGGTTTCCTGCAGAAATATTATTTGTGCCCGGTTCTGGTGGATCCAAGTCTTCAGTCTTGCTTTCTTCTGCCTGTCTGCGGAATCCCCCAAACCGCGGACGTTCCAGGATGCCATTGTCACTCCATCCATTCAGGGCAGAGGGCCCGACAGTCGATTGGATCCGACTTTCTTCTCCTACAGACTTGTTACTCTCTTTCCTTCTTCGCCCCTGTGTCTGTCCTTCTTCCTGTTGGCTCTCCCAGAGGGTGTTCAACAGGTTTCTGAAGTGGGGGCCTTGGGGGGTCCATGACTTTTTGTCCCTTGGCAACGATTTACAGAAATCTACGACCAGTGTCGCCTTCACACTGCCCACCAGGTGGATCCTCGCAGCTTTATCAGACGTGTTTGAGTTGAACCACTAGGGCGGTAGCCAGTGGATCCCCTGACCTTCCAGTGTGTTAGCACACTCTTGTGTGATCTTAATGTCCACAAACGCTAGGTGAACCTGCCCGCTGGCTTCTTCCCCTATGTCCACCGTTTTCCTCCCCACACTTATCCCTGAAATAAGTCTGAACGGAAACCGTCCCGCTGCGAACTTGTCCACTGCTCCGCGTATATGGTCCTTCGTGCCTGGGAAGCTGTCCATGGGAACTGCGAGAGTGCAAATTCCCCCGCCCGTGTCTTACCCGCCAAAATCTTGATGCCCTGGGGGGCCAGCGATGTGCAGAATAACACCACGTAGTGGTGTCCCTGTCCGTGTCCCGCTTGCTTAGCTCCACCTTTCGCTCCCCATGCCTGAGACTGAGTTGAAAGTTTCAGTTTTAGTGGTGACAGGATGTTAAAGAAGTCCACTTCTCCTTCTCCGTCTTCTGCTTCCTTCGTGGGTTCGCTAGTTCCTTGCTCGCCCAATCTTCGCGTCTTCACTGGAGCGAGAAGGGATGTTTTGGTACCTGGGTCCCTCATGATTTGGTCCGGTTGCGGGACTGTGGAGGCATTGCCTGCCGTACTCGCCTCTCTGTCCTCGTTCTGTGTTGGGTTCACTCCTTCCGCTCTTCCTGCTCCCCTTGCAACTCCCCCCTCACCTTCCTCCCCTTTGTTTTCGTACTCAAATTCCGAATTGATGTGCACTATCACGTACGCCTGATCAAGGACTTGATCACACATCCTACCTCCACTCCTCTCCTCTATTCTCCACTCTTCTTGTCTTGCCCCTGCAGCCCATGACCCACCCCATAAATCGGAAGGCCCACCAGACCAATTATGGTCTGGTTCAGGCTGGGGCCACTGGCATGGTTGGAACACTGTACCTGGATCTCCCCGTGGTCTTATAGACTGATGTACCCGTTCCCCATGGGGTCATGGAAGGGCCTGAAGGGCCTCATGGACACAGCCCCGTCCCCTCGATCCATGCTCCCATCATCAAGGGTGGTGGAGGTAGCGGGGGAGTCAGGCGCGGGTCCCACCCGTTCGCTACTCCGAGCTCTACTCTCCCCCCTCCCCAACCGGGTGCAGCAGTTAGCCCCCGATGGCCCACCATTCCCTGGCTTGGTCTAATCGCCAATGCCAGCGAGTTCCCCGTGTTGTCTTTCGCCCCCATCATATATGAATCATATTATTTGAGCTTGCTTCGCCGCCGCACGAGCCTCCTCCAACTCCCCCTCTCGCCCCTCCACTTGAATTTGACATCATCTTTCCGCCTTGACCATTCAGAGAGGACGGGGACATCGTTGGCTCCATATGTCTTGCAATTGGTTGTGTTCCAGCTGGAGCAGAACGTCCTAACGCCGCTTGATGGAGATCTTGGGCAGGGCTGTGATATCCTGTTTGTAGTAGTCCGGAGGTGGTGGGTTGGGGGGCCTGGGAGGCGGAGGCATTTGCTGGGGCTGGGGCTGGGCCCTGCGGTGTAGTCCCACCCCCCTGCCTTTCCCTATCCCTTCCTGTCCCCCCCCGCCTCCCCTCGCTCCACTTCCTTTGCCCCCTCCGTTCCCGGTTCGTCCGCCCGTTGAAGGTCTAACCTCCCTTCCTCTGCCTCCTCTCCCCCTCCCTCTTCCACGACCTCTCCCTGCCGCGTGTTCCGGCATGGGTTCATTGAACTGGGGGCATTCAGTGTCGAACTCATCGTGAAACCACCATAAGCATTTATTGCAGAATGGTGAGTCTTGGTTTGCAAATTGCACCTCCAAGTGACCTCCTCTTTGCTTCTTCACCACCACCCATTCAATAACGTTTGCCGAACTTTCGGTACACAATCGATTTTGATGTTGCCCGGCCTTGGTTCTTCCGGGCATTTCTCCGGCGGATGCATAACCAGAATTCGTCCTATGAGGCGCTCAACTGCATAGCGTAGTGATAGCAAGGCTTCGAGAGGTACTCTCAATGCTATTATTCAAAATTTGTCCACCTTGTCAGATTCTCTCATTTGGTCCAGCTCTGACTTTGTCATCCAAGGTTTGAACAATACCTTGATCGTGCCATTTCTGGACAGGATGCGGTCCTCCCCCTTCATAATCATCCATTGAGACATCCTCTCCGACCTTGCCACGTACGCCATGACATTGGGACCCTCCCCATGTGTCCTCCCCCTTTTCTGGGAGGGATTCACCGTTGCATCCGTGTACCAAGCGTCCTCGTATATCCTAATCAACCTCTCTCACTGGTTGACGCTCAAGTTAATTGCTGGCTCGTCAAAAATAACTATCACTGTTCTAGACTTCAACCAGGTGACCAGCGCGTCGTCAACTTCGTCCCTTTGTGTTAAGACCCCCACTCCATCTACTATCTCTGTGTCCCCAAAATTTGATGTTCGATTCTGGAAAGATCCCTTCGTCGTAACATTTGTCGAGTAGAAGTCTAATTCTATCACTCTCACTTTCATCCTGAGCATTCCCCGGTGGTCTGTTTGATGGTCCCCGCCGGTTGACGTTGAGCGCCCATCTCCCGCTGGTGGGGGGGGGCACACTTGGGTATTGAAGCCATCGCAGATGAAGTAGATGAAGCAAATCGATCGCTCCGAACCGCTCCTCACCTGTTGGTCTTCGACGACCTCTCTCCCCGACTCTCTATTTTTTCCAGGGTACGTACACCCTGGTCTTCGCCGAACCCTACTTCCTTTAATAGCTATCCTTTATTCCTCATCACAGACGTGAGGGCTATACGCGCCACGTCAAATTCGCATTTAAAACATATCTGCTTCGCCGCGTCACTCTGTCATTCTCGGTTGCTGACCCGCCTCCATACCTCCCTACTCCGCGAGAGGGTTTGATCTGGCCATAGCCGTGTAGGCTTCGGCAGAACCCCGTCCCCCGACGGCGTGCCAGGTTCGGAAGTCAGCAACACCGATTCTCCCGAACCAGTAGCGTTCGGCGGAGCGCTCCTCCGCCTGGTGTAACGCCCGTCCCCCGGTCACATTGTCCCGTCTTCCTTAACACTCTTTATGCGAATAGCGGGTCTCGCGTAACTCTCCCGCGAGATGCCGCTTTCCGCTGTTGGGAAACGTGGTGGGACCAGTAGGGGGGCCCGACAGACACGGCATGAGGCCTTTGGGGCGGGCCGGACCGGCGAGGCCCGGGTTGGACGACCCGAAGACCTTTCGGGGATCTGTGGCAGATGATTCCCGAAACCTCTATTGGGCCGTCCAGTCCGGGGCCGCTCGACAATCTTAACGGTTGTCGTCGGTCCGACTTTTGCAATCGTGTGCTGCTTCGTGCGAGAACGGAGAAGGGAAAGGTCCCGTCCAGTCCGGGGACGAGAACGGAGAAGGGAAAGGTCGGGATCACGTCAGGTGGTCTGGATGGGAGACGGGTTGGGATGATGTCGCGGGAAGGAAGTCGGGGAACGAAGCGGGAGAAGGAAGAGGTGGGGATGAGGTCGGATGGGAAGGGAGTTGGGATAGAGGAGAAGGGAAGAGGAATCTAGGCATGGAAGAAGGTCGGGATGGGAGTTGGGATAGAGGAGGAGGGAGAAGGAATTTAGGCATAGGGCTAGGTCAGGGGAGGAAGGGGAGAGGGGGAGAGGTCAGGACGGGGAGGTCGGTATGGGAGGTCGGGACGGGGAGGTGAGGGAGAGGTCGGGATCAAGTAGGGAGGTAAGGATGGGAGACGGGTTGGGACGATGTCGGGAGAAGGAAGTCGGGGAAGGAAGTCGGGGAAGGAAAGTGAGAAGGAAAGGGTCGGGATGAGGTCAGGATGGGATGGGAGACGGGTTGGGACGATGTCGAGGAAGGAAGTCGGGGAAGGAAAGGGAGAAGGAAAGGGTTGGGATGAGGTCAGGATGGGATGGGAGTCGGGATAGAGGAGAAGAGAGGAGGAATCTAGGCATGGGAGATGACTCGCGACGATGTCGGGATCGGGGGAGCAAGGGGAGAGAGGGAGAGGTCGGAACGAGGAGGTCGGGATGGGAGGTCGGGACCGAGAGGTCGGGTATGGAGACGAGAACAGAGGAGGGAGAGGTCGGGATGAGGGAGGGAGAGTTGGGACAATGTCGGGGGAAGGAAGGAGAGGGGGAGAGAGGTCGAGATAGGAAGGAAGGGAAGGTGGGGGCCGGGGAAGAGGTCGGGATGAGGTCAGGATGGGATGGGAGTCGGGATAGAGGAGGAGGGAGGAGGAGTCTAGGCCTGGGATCGGAGGTCAGGACGGGGAGGTGAGGGAGAGGTCGGGACTAAGTCGGGAGGTCGGAACCGGGAGGTCGGGGTGGGAGACGCGAACAGAGGAGGGAGAGGTCGGGATTAGGGAGGGAGACAGGTCGGGATGAGGTCGGGATCGGATGGGAGTTGGGATAGAGGAGGAGGGAGGAGGAGTCTAGGCATGGGAGATGGATCGGGATGATGTCGGGATAGGGAAGGGAGACGACGAGCTAGGAGAAGGAAAGGGGGGAGGGAGAGTTCGGACGACGTCGGGGGAAGGAAGGATAGGGAGGGAAAGTCCAGATCAGGTCGGGAGGTCAGAATGGGTTGGGACGGGGAAGGAAAGAGAGGAGGAAGAGATCGCGATGACGTAGGGATGGGAGTTGGGATAGAGGAGGAGGGAGGAGGAATATAGGCATGGGAGAAGATGGGGATGGGAGTTGGGATAGAGGAGGAGGAAGGAGGAACGTCGGGATCGGAGACACAAACAGAGGGGGAGGCCGGGATCAAGGAGGGAGAGTGGGGGGAGAGAGGTCGAGCGGGAAGAAGGAAAAAGAGGGGAGGAGAGATCCGGACGGCGAGGAAGGGAAGGTCGGGAGGTCGGGATGGGAGACGATTTTTTTTTTTTTTTTCTGTCGGCCAAGGTCAGGGGAGGAAGGGAAGAGGGAAAGAGGTCGGGACGGGGAGGCTGGGATGGCAGACGGGAACGAAGGAGGGAGAGGTCGGGATCAGGTGAGGAGGAGGGAGGAGGAATCTAGGCATGGGGCAAGGTCAGGGGAGGAAGGGGAGAGGGGGAGAGGTCGAGACGGGGAGGTCGGGATGGGAGGTCGGGACGGGGAGGTGAGGGAGAGGTCGGGATCAAGTCGGGAGGTCGGGATGGGATAAGGGTTGGGACGATGTCAGGGGAAGGAAGTCGGGGAAGGAAAGGGAGAAGGAAAGGGAGAAGGAAAAGGTCGGGATGAGGTCGGGATGGGATGGGAGTTGGGATAGAGGAGGAGAGAGGAGGAATCTAGGCATGGGAGACGACTCGAGACGATGACGGGATCGGGGGAGCAAGGGGAGAGAGGAAGAGGTCGGGACGGGGAGGTCGGGATGGGAGGTTGGGACCGAGAGTTCGGGGTGGGAAACGCAAATAGAGGAGGGAGAGGTCGGGATCAGGGAGGGAGAGTTGGGACGATGTCGGGGGAAGGAAGAAGAGGGGGAGAGAGGTCGAGACGGGAAGGAAGGGAAGGTGGTGGGGGGGGGAAGAGGTCGGGATGAGGTCGGGACTCGGGATGGGATCGGAGTCGGGGTAGAGGAGGAGGGAGAAGGAGTATAGGCATGGGATGGGAGGTCAAGACAGGGAGGTGAGGGAGAGGTCGGGATTAAGTCGGGAGGTCGGGATGGAAGACGGGTTGGAAAGGGAGAAGGAAAAGGTCAAGATGAGGTCGGGATGGGATGGGAGTCGAGATAGAGGAGGAGGGAGGAGGAATCCAGACATGGGAGACGACTCGGGACGATGTCGGGATTGGGGGAGCAAGGGGAGAGAGGGAGAGGTTACGAGAGAGGTACAAGCGATGGAGGGAAGGGGAAGGGGGACAGGGTCGGGACGAGACGATGCGAGGATAGAGGAGGAGGGCGACGAGGTTGGGGAAGGAAAGGGAGCAGGAAAAGATCGCGATGAGATCGGGACGGGAGTCGGGATAAAGGAGGACGGACGATATCGGGATAGGAGAGGGGAACGAAGGAAGGATAGGGGGGGGAAACCTCGAGATGAGAAGGAGGGGGAAGTGGGGAGGGGAGGGAGGGGGGGAGAGGTCGAGATGGGATATTGAAAACGACATGCCTATATAGGACACAGGAAATCAACTGTTTTAGCCTTTTTTTTTTCTTTTTTTTTTCTACTCCATCGGTAAACGAATACGATTTGTTTATTTTATTTTATTTTTTCTGAAGTTGATTTTTTTCGCTCTTTTTTTTTTCTTTTTTTTTCTCAACTTCTTTTTCTTTTCCTTGACTTTTTTTTACTCGGTTGATAAATAAATACAACTTTGTTTTTGCAAAAATCATCTGTGTTTTTTTTTTTTTTTTTTTTTTTTTGCACCCCCTC